GTATCCTCGCCTTGCTCCATGTCTCCCAGGGAGGTTCCCCACTCCGGTAACCAGGAGGCAATGCAGTTTTGTCACGTCTGAGTGGCCCAGAGGGGCTGGAGCCAGAGCACTCGCCCTCAGCTTAAACAGCCCTCGTAAAACCATGCAGCAGGTCCCTGTAAAAACGGAGGGCTGTGTTCTGGGGCAGCTGTTAAAAAATAATGACAGTAAGAAACAGGAGGCTCTCTATTTTAAAAAGGATTTTTTTAAAGTTTCTAAGGAGCTCCCTAGTGAAATCAGAGCATATTTCGAAGTATTTTTACCAAAAGGCAAAGCCTGTAAAAAGCAGGACCACCTGCCCGCGTGCTACAGGACCCGGCAGGGCTGACGTGAGGCTGCAGACTGGGTGTCCTGGCCACAGAGCTCACCCAGCTCTCGAGGTCTCCCCCGTGGCTGTCAGGGCACAGCCAAGGTAAACGATGAACGCAGCGTGAACACAAGCGAGAGTGGGCAGGGACGGAGAAGTGGATGGAAACCCCTGTAAAGGAGGGAAATGAAGGGAAACAAAGCAACCCCCCAACGCTCRCTCGCAAACGGCTCGTGCAGGAGAGGCGGTGGGTCCAGCTGCCAAGTTCTTACCAGAGATGCCACTGGGCATCTCTGCTACTTCCAGCCTAGAAACCAGCTACTTGAGCTCATTTTAAGAGTGTAGGAGACAGCATGAAAAGCTGAATATAAGGGAAAGAAAAAGTTCGGAATTGCTCAAGCACGGTATAACAAATGAGCCTGATTTCTCAGGCACTGGGCAGATGAGCCGGGTTTTGAGATTCTCCTGCAACACTACGGATAATCTTGCAACCATCCAAGCCAGATCCTGAGGGAACTCACTCTAGCACAGGGCACTTCTTTTGCTTTCCTTCCCGGAGAGAAGGAGAGAAGGAGAGAGGAGGTGCAGGGAGCCGCCAAGGCGCCCCGGAGCTCCCCAAACACCCCGCTGCCTCCGGAGCCCCTCGGGGCCGCTGCTCTTGCCCCGGGCGCGGAACAGAGGGCCCCGAGCGGCGCCGCCGCCGCCCCGCGCTCGCGCCCCGGCTCCCGCCGCGGCCGCCGGACTCACCCCAGAGCAGGGTGAGGAGCTGGGCGCGCGGCACGAGGCTCAGCGCGTACACGGCGCCCAGGTGCAGCAGGCCCATGAGCACCACGTTGCGCCACACGACGGTCTGCGC